GGAGCTGTAGAGGAGTGGAGGACTGCACTGTAGCGCAGGTCTGAGCTTTAGCAGATTCACTCCAGTCCAGACACAAGAAGGCCAAAGAAATAAATACAGTGTAGAATTAGAGAGCAAGAGATGGAATCTGAGCCTAAAAGTAATTGACGATATAGGCCTGTGTCCTACTGTTGGCCACAGATACAGAGAGGGTGTGAACAGTACAGCACTGCAGTAATCCTGGAGCACTAAAACAGGTTACAAATGAGAAGGCAATTCGGCACATCCAGCCCGTTTGGTAGTTAGCATTTCCCTTTTCTTCAAAGCCAAGGTTATCGGTTTCAAGTATATGGCTGGGCAGCTTCTTCTAAACGCCTACAAACCTCTGTGTCCTAACTTGAGGATCTCTTGCAGCTGTTTCTTGAAAAAAACGGGGCTCGCAGCTTCAATAGAATTACCGTTTCATACTCCCGCCACCCTTTGTGTATAGCACATATTGGTATTATAGATGTTGCTGCCAGAAACTTAAATGACTGGTGTAGCTAAACTTTACTTGGCCTATGTGTGTGGTTTGGACAGACAGCGCAGCAGGTGTTCCTCTCTCTTCCCTTGGATCTTGTCGCCACATCCTAGTCAATTTGCATAGATCTGCTTTAAGAAAGTGTCATAAAAACACTTAATCAAGAATGATGAGGTCCCTGTAAGTTAAGGGTGAGAATTATACCCAGTTAGGGATAAGGTTAATATCGCCCCAACCACCAAAATTATAGGTTTTGTAAAATCCAAGCATTCGTGAGACAAGGCTCAGCTTTTGTGCTCATTCTTCTACTGTATCGTTAAGTGCCCCACATGTCTAAATCCTGGAGTCAGTTGTCATCATGCTTACCCTAAGGTCATGAGCACTTAAACATTAAATGTATGTGAAAATGAAATATGATGAACCCTCCAACTTGCCTGCTTGAAAGTGTACTCCACAATCCTTTGTCGTTTTGGTCAGTATCATGCTGTGACCTGACTCCAGACTCCCGGTGTCTGATGTGTTCCACATGCCATCGGTCAGTTGTGGCCTGTCTGTGTGTGCTCAGACAGTCGGACAAATGCCTGTCCAGTGAAGGACACAGCTTTGATTGGCCATAGGGCAGGCTCAGAACACGTGGCTCATTAAGATAAGCACAGATCTCCAGACTGGTGGCAGGGGAACAGGCACTCTCTGGCCCACTTGATTCCAGTCTGGGCTGTGCACCAGTTCCCAGTGGGATCGCATCACCAAGGTCCGGTCCACGCCGGTCCAAGCAGGATTCCACCTGCGGAGGAGGGAGACTGACTGCTGAAGCCTGTTTTCTATGCTGTCACCCTGAGGGCCCTGGCTGTCACACACAACAAAGAGAGGATGAAAGTGTGCGTCTTAGGGTTGCAGATATTTAATGCAGTATGATGATAAACTTGTGGTTTGGTTTAGAAATAGTTAATCCAAATTTATTTGTAATCCTTCAGATATGACCTGTATAAGCTCCCCTCCCTCCAATCCCCTCCCAAAATCTGTTATGGGTTATGGTTAAAAACCTATAATCCTGTCAGCACAGCAAATTAATACACAGTCTGTCGTTGGTCAGCGTGCAACAACACACTCCTTAATCTGCATCTGTAACCCCAGTGTCTGTTGGTAACAAGCTTGCTGTCTGATGTATTATACTGGAGGGCATTGTGTGGCTTTATCTGTCTCGCTGAGTCCCCCTCCTCCACGTCTCTCGGGGAGAAGCCATGAGTCTCTGCACTCTGTGAAATCAGGTGCTCATGTGTTCCACCAAAGAGAGACTTCACAATCGCGTCCCCGTATGTACCACTGATGAGAGCCTCTTTAGTCAGATTCTTCCTGTGTTTCGTGGTTCTCTCTGTCCAGTCAGTGTTTGTCCTGTCAACCAGCTGTCTGACTGACGATGAACAATTAATGTGCTGTGGTGTCCACTTGATTGCAGTGCCTGTGTCTGTGCAGCGTTATCCAGTCCTTATTCTTGGTGGAGCTCAGGGTAGGGTCTTGGAATCATGCTGTCCTGTCATAAGCTCGCTTCTTGGTTACAGTAGTCGCTCTGTGCTGTGTGAATGTCTCTCTCTTCCCCCGCCTCCGAGTCCAGTGTTCCTGTCCTGTGGCGTTGATTAGCAGTTTGACTCTCTCTTTCTCTCAGGTGACGGGTAAATTCCGCGGAGGGGTCAATCCCTTTACGAATGGCTGCTGGAGGAATGTGTCTCATGTTCTGTGCAGCTCGCAGGCCCCCAGGTGAGTCCATTTCCACTTTCGCTGTATACTCTTCCCCTGAGACCATGCACTCTCTCCGTATAACTTTGTCCATAACAGTCTCTCTCAGTGCAGTGTTAATGTCCTGTAGTGTCCAGTCAGTGTGTCTGGACTGTATTAACCCCTCTCTCTCAGTGCAGTGTTAATGTCCTGTAGTGTCCAGTCAGTGTGTCTGGACTGTATTAACCCCTCTCTCTCAGTGCAGTGTTAATGTCCTGTAGTGTCCAGTCAGTGTGTCTGGACTGTATTAACCCCTCTCTCTCAGTGCAGTGTTAATGTCCTGTAGTGTTAGTCAGTGTGTCTGGACTGTATTAACCCCTCTCTCTCAGTGCAGTGTTAATGTCCTGTAGTGTCCAGTCAGTGTGTCTGGACTGTATTAACCCCTCTCTCTCAGTGCAGTGTTAATGTCCTGGAGTGTATTAATTCCCCCTTATTCCCTCAGGTACCTGGGCCGTCCTCGACAGGAGCAGTCAGTGCTGATCAAGCCTCCCTTTTTGAGGCCTGAGCTGACGGACGCCCAGCTGGGGGTGAAGATCCTAGACAACGGCATTCAGGGAGACTTGCACTCCTCTAGGGTAAGTGGGGAGGGTGTGCCGTCTGTGTGCGGTGTATATACAGTCTGTGGTTACCAGGGTATTACAACTGACTGGTGTCTCTCTTTTTCCAGTCCAAAGGCAGTCTGGAGGTGATGGAGAGCCAGTCAGCTGATGCAGAGCCACCTCCCCCTCCCAAGCCTGAGCTTCATAGATACCCTGGGCTGAGGGCCCAGATGTCACTGGGGCATACTGAAGGTAATACTGTGCTG